AAGTCTCCCGTGTCGATCGAACTCCTGGAAACTTGTTTCCACGGCCTCGCTATGACTGAACCCTTTGATGAAGCTCTCTGGGGGGTGTTGAGCTTCGCGTTCTTTTTCCTCTTAAGACGCTCTGAGATCGTCGCAATTGGCGGCGGCAAGTTTAAGTGGTTTGCGGTTCGAGCACGCGACGTTATTGTCCTGGATGAAGCTGGCCAAGCTACGTTACAACCGCGTCTAGCCCGTGCTGTCTGCTTGCGCCTCGTCGGATCGAAGACCAACCAAGCCGGAGCACCCACATCACGGCTGCTGTCGCGTTCAGGGCACCCACACCTGTGTCCGGTCTTTGGTGCCCTCGCCTCACTGAAAGCTAGAAGGAGTCTCCCCGTTGACATCCCAGCGGCGGTGTACATGAAGCGCAACGGACAGCCATTGTGTATCTCAACTGCTGACGTAGCCGAGGTTATCAAGCGGGGATTGGTCAAGATCCACGTGACTTCAGCTCTCACTCTCTCCGCTCCGGCGGGGCTACGCACATGTACCGCGCAGGAACGGATGCACTCACGATTCAGTTTCATGACCGTTGGGTTTCAGATGCGTTCAAGATCTACACCAGACTGTGCAAGGAGTCAGTCGCAAAGCTCTCGTCCGACTGCATGACCAACGCTGGGGGCACTGTTCTCCTCGTCCCTTATCGGAGTGAGCTAATGGTCATCACATAAGCTTCACTAATAAAACTGTTCGTTTGACCCCCAGAAAGTGTGGAAACTTTCTGTGAAACACGAATACAAACGTTTTATCGCTAACTTTGCCGTTTTGAATATTTCGCATGCATTGTAGCAAGCACCCAGTATTCTAAGAGCTTTTCTCGATAAATTTTGTACTTGATTTTGTTTTGGGTTACCCTCAAAATTTGCCAAAAGACTGCGTCAAACATAATGATACTTATGAACCATTTGGAGTTTTCGAGATAATCACGTTTGAAGTTGACCAATCAGATTTCGTACCTAGCCGAACATCAACATTTTGAAAGCTGAACTTACTCCAAAAAGGCATAAAAACACTACTGTTCGACTACGTTTTGCACGAGCTTTCCGGTAATATACGTTTCAATAAAATCCGAAAAATATTGCGGACAAACCAGTCGGAAACACGCCCATATTTTAGGCCTGGGAAAATGGAGAAAATATTTTGGAGTGTCAGTAACTTATTCAGTTTTGCTTATTTTAGAGATGCCGAGGGCTTAAAAGAAGCAGAAGACGCTTCTCTTTGCAACGATGGCGATTCGTACTTAGGTTCATAAGTATCTTTTTGTTTGACGCAGTCTCAAATATTAAGCTTAGCTTAATATTTAATATTAAGCTTATTTTGGGTAGAAGGACTCCCTCTGAAGACTCTGGATATAGATCAGCACGCTACTGGTTCGGCTCCGACGAGTCTTCTGCTGGAAGAGCTACCGGTATGCTTGCAATGCAGCCACTCGAATCACCACCAGTTGTCGCTTCACGCACCGCCTCGT